AATTCTTAGATCATTTCCTTCCCTTCCCAAACTGGAAAAATATGTACATTTATCTAGATGGCTTTTTAACGTGTTTTGTAAATGAAGCAACAAAAGAAAATATTGATAAATATTGGAATTTAAATAAAAAGTAGTTTTATGTTCATAAACTAAAACCTTAATTAGATACCTAACAGCTAAATAAAAAGCTGACTGCATTTCATCTGGCCAAATGACAGTTTTCCCATTGCCCTACAGTTCAGGTTTTATGACTTTGGCACCACTTTTTTCTCTTATACAGGTATTTTGATCCCTGGTGAGTGGCTTTTGAATTTTAGCTCACCCAAAAGTACCCTGGTTGCAGAGCTCCCTTTATTGTTTTGTTTGCTTGTTGAAAATCATAGGTGTTGATACATAGAACATAAAGGTTGGAAAAATATTTGGAAACGTTGAAATAAAAGCATATTGCTGTGATTAGAGGTTTTGTATGCTTTGCAAGGGAATCTTATCATTTTTCCTGCAAAACATTGGCAAGTTCAGTTAACAGCGGTAGTGGTGGATAGTGCACATGCAAATTTCTCACTAAAGGCTCAATAATATTGATATCTGGTGACCATGGTAGATGTGAAAGTTCACTCTCATGCTCAGAAAATTGGAGATGAGAGCTCTGTCATCCTGGAATATGGCATCACCATTGGGGAACAAAATTTCGACCATGAGGTGGAGGTGATCAGCCAAAATATTCACATAATCCTTGGCAGTAATGATGAGTCCCATGGAATACCACAATATGGTTGCCTAAACCATAATCAAACTCTGCCATGTTTCACTCTGGGCAGCAAACAGTCTGCATCTTATCATCAACGTGCATTTAACGTTGATGCTTTCAGTTCTTGATTGAAAATGTCTTTCAAGCTCCCATTACATTAATCGATTACGTCTAAAATCTACTGTAATGCTCTTCTTATGTAATATGTTTTAAAGGTATAAATAATACCTTGATCCAATGGTTGGAGTAATGAAGTAGTGTTATGTATTAGGAACAGTATTTTGACATTGGGATGATTCAAATCTTGTGGGTGATTCTAATAGTAATAAGCGCCTTGAAGCTCAAATTTTTCTGCCTTAAATAATATTTGGCGTCTGGCACAAAACTATTTAAAAAACAATCTTTAAATATATTCCCAGCTACCCAACATCTTGGATTAGCTTTCCAATATACTGTTAAGGTGTATTTATTTACGCCTTTAAGTGCAGAAAGATTTAAAGATCTGTAAACTAATAAGGGCTTTGTCATACTCTACAAAGGTAAGTTAGGAAATCAGGATGCAGTCCCCCTCCCCATTATAAAGGTTCCACTGGGACATTTTTTTCCACCAAAGCCTGATTTTGTCGGCATCTAAAACTTGAATTGCTATGTATCCTTGTTCTATAATATTTTGAAATATTTCAAGAATTGTTCCTAGTAGCTTCATAGTCAACTGATGCAGATTCCTCTTGAATTCTTATGCTGTGAATTGCAAAACGCTTTTTGAAATTTTCGAACCAACCTTTAATTACCAGAAAATCTAGGGTTCTACACGTTCTTTGAGGTGCTTGAAAAATTTGAGTGCTTTTTGTTTAAAGAAATTACCATCCAGCAAAATTCATTTTTGACGGCTATCAACAATCCAAATGCCGAGTGCCTTTTCTACTTATCAATTATAGGCGCCCCTGGGGGCGAACTGCACCTTTTGCGGATGGCGAAGATACTGCAGCAACTGCACTTCTTATTTCTTTTTCATTTTTCTTAATGGTCCGGACTGTTTCTTCATTCCTATTAAAAGTTTTTCCAATGTGAGATGCCTTTTCTGCGTCTAAAAGAAGATCCATGATTTGTATCTGTACTTCTAAAGAAATTAATTTCCTCTTAAACGTTGTTTTTTATCTTTATCGGACATGTTTGGGGACTGAAAGTTAATGTCTTGAAGACGAGAAAGTTATTCTTTAACACCTTGTGGCTCGACGCAGACTGCCGACCAGCAGTGTGAGACACTTTTAAGGCTATGGAGACGAGGATTCAAATTTTGAAAGCCGAACGTGCAGGTTGTACATTTCAGAGCACTTGCTGTGACCACGTGTTGTTCACCTTCTGCAATATGTTTCTTCATTGTTATCTGGGGACATTTGTTCATACGGGTCATCTGAGGACATTTTGTTCTTACGGGTACCGGATCTTGGAAGACAACTGGCAGAACTTACGACACAAGGGTTCTTATGTGTTACTATATGGGTGTTTTGCACAATACGGAAAAGCTTCGTGCGGAGTTCGTTAAATTTCTGTGGATTGTTTGGGCAATTTTCTTATCGTGTTATAGCGAAGCTGTGTTACAGAATGCCGTGTTGTAGTGTAGGGGGGCTACCTGTACTCAAGTTACTTTTTCCATTCATGCGCATGTAATCGTCATATAACCAAGAAGAGCTTTTTTAGGGGGTGTAGAGTAGCAGGCCTCCCCATGGCACACCCTGAGTAATGCTAAATCTGCTAAGGTATTTAGAATCTAGTGTTTTTTAATCATAGGCAGAAGCTCTTACTCTTTTACACGCTTCCCAGCAATGCTCGTTTCAGCACTTCACTTTCGTATTCTTTTCAAACCTCTATCCATTCAGTGTACCCACTTCGGGCACACCCACAAAATTAAAACGATAAGTGCAATCTCCACAAAGTTTTACCCGTGTACTCCTAAACCTGATTAAACTACCTACTTTTGGGGGGGTCGAAATTCCATATTTAAAAGGTAGCGTGCCAGAAAGGGTTAATATCCTCTCAGAATCCTTTTGGAAATGAGCAGCAACATTTAACTGTTAAATTAAAAAGTGCTGTAACATAAAATAAACTAATGTTATAGAATGACTATGGTTTTTAATAGCTCAGAAAGTTGAAAATTGTCTCACATTTGAGAGAGTATTTCAGGAGAAGGCTTTTGTAAATAAGTAAAATACACGATTTTAATATTAATAACACAATACATTTTAATTTTTGTAATCTTTAACTGAGTAAAATTGAATTACATTGAAATTTCTTTCCAATGCAATTAGCAAAAACATTTCATTCAAACTGAAATATTGTTAAAAATTTATTCTTTCACATATTCTTCTGAAATGATTGTAAGAAATGTAAAACAATCTAACCTGAGAATACATACAAGGCTAGAACGACCTTTTCAGCCTGCTCTTCGAATTATCCATATGCAGCAAACTGAAGTAATCAACTCATGAGTGTTTAATTTCATGCACTCAACTGTGTTCTCCAATAGATGATCTAATTTCAACATTTTCTCTTCTGTTATGTGCCTCCTGCATTTAGCCAATTGCATGAGAGTTGTGAAATCAATCCCTGTCTCAATCAATTTATAAACTTCATCCTTTCTAAAAGTTCTGTTTTCAGATGTTGCTTATCCTTTCATGCTATTCCACATGATTTCAGTTGGGTTCAGTTCACAATTATATGATAGTAAACAGAGTACAGTATTTCTGTCTTTAACAGCTACAGTATCAATACAATTCAAATTGTTTTATAACCTTAGAAACAAGGACTAAATGTTCTGCTTTCCTTGTATTGAAGAAGGAATGTTTTCAGACAAAATGCTATAAAACACATTATCTAACACAAGTACATTGATTAGTTACAAATTATGTAGCAGTCCCCTCCCACACACACAGCTAATTTTCATAGTATTCCATGTTTTATTTCCCCGTAATAATTTCCCCCCGGCCCCCCAGCTTCAAATATATTGCATGCTTCAAGAATAAATTCATCATCGCGACTGTGTGTTTTCCTGCCTTATGAGATTGGTAATTATACACATATATTAAAAATCAAACAGATGCCATAACAATTACTTCCTTCTTTTCCCGGTCATCGAATGAATGAATACTTTGCTTTTTTCATAAAGAGTAAAGCGAGGGTAAGGTTGCTAGAATTTCCAGTTTTGCCAAGAAAGGGGGTTGAAATGATTGTCATATTACCAGATTTTTTAAATAAAAAACTAACTTTATCATTTTACAGTTTTTTGTTCCATTGTCTTGCTGAACAATATTTATATTTAACCCTCTGAGCATTATAATCGGTTTTATCCGGTCGTCAGAAGTTTTGCTACTTGGCATATATTAGCTTAGAATTTAAGATATTATGCTTTCTTACTTTCTTTAATAATGTAAATATCATCTTAATGATTGTAAGTTTAGGAAAATACAGACTAAAATAAGTAATTATACGAACTCAATTAATAAATGCTGTTTAAATACCAGTCTTCATAACTGATCTAAAATCATGTGCCGCTCAGACAGCTAACATCACTTTTACAATTTGACTTCTTGAAGTAATAGAACTATTCTATGGCGGATGCATATCTTTTGTACCACTGTTGTCAACTTAGATTGACAGTTAGTATAGCAGTGATTATAAGGGTCATTAATGCTCCCCCCTTCTAAAAAGGCACTGAGTGTTATGGCTTTAATGGAAAACAATTTTAATATTAAACAAAAGTGAGTATATATAATTTTCGTCTCTAGTAATTCTTCTCAAAAATTTTTAGGTGCTGAGTTGACTAGATTTATCTCTACAATCACAGTTAAAGCCCATTTTTTATGTGGTAATTTTACTGCTGTTCTTGAAGTATAACTGTGGAATATTTTACAATAATTAGCGTTTAAAAGGTAACTGAAAAAATTCAGGTCCTGAAGAGTGAAATTTAATATGTTACAGTACTGAAAAATAAAATTATATGGTGTATGAATTGATATTGTACATTTTTACAAAGGTTTTTCCTGCTATGAACATTGAACTTTTGAGGAATAAATAACAAGTTACTGAAATATTTTTAGACTTCCATAAAATGATGATAGCTATCATTTTGAAGTAAGGTGAAAATTGTCGACTGCAAAAAATTTTTATTACTTAGATGTAAATTTTAGTAGTTGTTTTTATACAAATCATATGCTATCTCCTTTTATGTTTTAATATTAAAATATCCCTGTAGGTTGACAGTAATAAGAAATTAGGTGAATGGGCTGGTCTTTGCACATTTGATAAGGAAGGAAAAGCAAGGAAAGTAGTTGGATGCAGTTGTGTAGTAGTTGTTGTAAGTCATTTTTCTTAATTAATCTATCATACATATGTGCTTTTGTTCAAAGCAGTACTTATTTATGTATTAATATTCTTTGTATGATTTCAGGATTACGGAAAAGAAACACAAGCCCATGATGTCTTGAATGGATACTTTAAATCCAAGAGAGCATAATGTTAAAAACATTTTAAATAAAAAAAAAAAGTAAAGAAAGCTTTGTTTCATAACTGTTATGACTAAAACATATGTGATAGTTAAAATAACATGCCAAACAAATATTAATTCAGAAGTCAAACAACAATACTATATTTTCAAATTTTCACAGAACTAGTTTCAATGGTTTTTACCAAACCACCAGCCTCAGCTGCCAAAGTGCAAATGCACTGAGGATGATGGTTTGTTAAAAACCATCAAAACTAGTTCTGTGAAAATATAGTGCTGATTTTTGTTGTTTGACTTCTGAATTAATATGTGATAGTATTGAGAGTGAACATGTCATGAATATCAGGGACTGGAAAATCAGATCATTTCGTTTGAGTTTTAGAATAGATTTTCAATTCTCATACTGGGTGTAAGTGGAGCACAACATGCACTTTAAATGCATCTCATGTCAGCTTTTTGGGAACTGTGAAATTTATTCTCGACTATACATATAACATAGTATCTAGGAACATGTTCTGACTCTTAACATAGCCAGAGAATTACGGAAAAAAACTCCATATAGTAGATTACATCACATTATGGACAAACAGGGAAAAAAGTCAGCAAAAATGTCAAGTTTTATGGAAGAAATCGGGGTTCATACGGTCCTTAAAAGTCTAGATTTTTTTTAATTGATTTTTGGTCCTTAATTTTAATGATCTGGAATTTCTGTCTGTTTTTACGACTGCCATTTTGAGTGTGAATTAGCATTTTGGAAGAATATTTTTGTCGATTCACCAACATATATCGGGTGGCCAAAGTGCAGCTCGCAAGCCTGATACGGCTCTCGCAGGCAATTTGTGTGGCTCATGCATAGAAAATATATGTATGAAATATGGTAAAATGAAACTATTCAGTGTCTAAAAGTAAGTAATTAATTAGTTTAGAATCGTTTTTCAAAGTCTCCAGGATTTCTTTCTCTTTAAAACCTCCTCCACTACTTCTATAATGATGTAAATATGAACTTGTGGCTTTTAGAAAATCTAGATGCTCCTCTCAAACATTCCTGAATTCAAACGTGTTGCTCTTACTGACATGAAGTTTGGTCAACCCTGACATATATGGTTACCTTTTAAATGGGATCGTGGGTTATAATTTGTTTCTATTTTTTAATATAAATGATGGGATCTCGAGTTTCTAAGCAAGAAGTGAAACATAAACATTTTGAAATTAATTTTTTGTAATAAAGAGTTCTTTAAAAACTTTTTAACAAACAAACGTTTTTGAGGCATTTTGGGAACTTATTATACAATACAGTGAAAAGTCTGTAATCTGGAATGATCTATAACCTGGACCTCAAAGCTGCAAACTTTCTGTTCACGCGTTTAATGTATAATGGACAGTATAAGCTGAGCTAAAATTATCTATTTCATTTAACTGGATCTGGCATATTATTTTTTGCAGATTGTTAGAGCAATTTTATAAAAGTAAGCATGAACTTTCGATTATGTCAAAAAAGAATTTCCGATTCTGGAGCTACCAAAGGATCTACAAACCGAAAGCATGTTTCGATGTCCATCAAACAAAAAGTGGAAAAAGGCTTATCCTTTGATTCTCTAATCATTCCGAAATATGTTTATCAATTTCACGCTGCTCTGCGGGGGGGGCACGACGCGGCATGCAATGAACTGGAAGTTGATCTGTCAGCACTATCCTTATCTTCAGGGCAGATGTTTTTATTTTATTCGGCTTATAATTCCTTACTAAATGTAGTATTTCATCTCAATGTCTCCGTCTGATATGATTTAAATCAAATTCCTCGTCATTATAAACATTACGAATACGCATCAAATAGTTTTCTGGTTGCAATTTTCTAATTTCGACTATGCGTAATGTATGCTTTACGCATGCGCGCATTGAAAGAAATGTTTAATAAGGTAAACAAATAAATATTAAGCTTTTTTCTTGTAAATTCTGATACCCTTTAGATCATAATTGCTCTTTATTTTGTAAATTACGGTTTTCGTATTTTTAATTTTATAATTTCTGCATGCCATCTTACCAGATTTAAACTGATTATCTATAATCTCGACGAGTCCGGATTAAAGACTTTGGACTGTATTTTTAATGTGAAAAATAAACAAGGTATAATGCTATAAAGCATAATTTACAAAACAGCTCTTAGCAAAAGCAAAGTTAGCTATGTAATTAGTTAAAAATGTCTTCTTTTTAACTTTTTCATAGTAACAGTTTTTCCCATGTAATTGTGTCGGAATATGCATCAGTTTTCTGTATAAAATTAATTTTACACAATTTTTTCTTCCCCACCCCCAAATATTTCTGTTATATTATATATTTTTTGCTGTTACAGAAGTGGTAGGGGTAATTTTTCTGTAGGATTTTAGACATTTCAGCTTGGAAAGTTTTGAAGGCAAGATTTATAAACCCACAATTCTAGAATATATGGCTGTGGAGTCGGTAGGGAAAATGACCGACTCCTGGAATTTTAAAGACTCTGACTGCCTCATATATATATATATGTATATATATGTAAACATATACACATGGGTTACTCCTTATTTTTTTAATATAAAAGAAGTAATAGATGCTACAGAAAAAAAAATTGATGGCATGGCAAATTATATTAATTAGCATTTATTATGAAATGAAAAAACTGGCATTAGTTATTTCTAAGAAACAGTACAGCTTCGGTAAGATCTTTGTTGGAGGACCATAGATCAGATTTGATAAACTTCAGAGCTGAGAGGAGTCTTTTCACACTAACTTGAGTAAGAGGAAAAACTGTTACTGTTAGAGTTACTTCTTTCAGGATAGATTTTTATAAGTTCTAAAAGGGGTGTCTTGCAAGTGCAATCACATTTCTTCAAAGGTCCTGTAGAAATCTTGTTTGTATTTTTTTATTTTTATACCTAAAGGCTCTTGGTTCTTTTATTTTCATTCGCTTTGCCTTAGCCTTTTCAAAATTATCCAAAAATGTTTCTCAAAATCTAATTCATCACTGGAAGAGGATGATAGAGACTCAATTGCAACGTCTGCAGTTTGACTGTCCTGATTTGAATTCTCCTAATTGTTCTGAGATTAATTTCATTCTTAATGAAAGTTAATAGATGGACTTTCTTTGCCTTTTTAATTTGTTCGTCATCCAATAAAATTCGGTGTTTCGGATCTACATATTTTGAACCCTACAAGATCTTATTGTCTAGCAAACTAGTTTTTGTTTTCTTCATTTAGGAAATGATTCTTTCTGGAACAAATCCTCCATTTCAGAAAGAACAAATTCACATCCCTATTCTCGCTTCCTGTCAATTCTTCAGATTGCAGCTTTTTTGTGATTATATACGGTATAGAAAGAAGAGTTTCCAATTCTGCAAGATCATTCCATAGTCTTTCTGTTAGTGAAACATTAGGGTTATCTATATCTTCTAAAAAAAAAAAGTTCTTAATTCTAAAACCCTCTTTATCAAATATGTACTTCCTTATTTCATCAATAATTGCTCCTTTTCCTGCTTGCTTCCTGAGGAATGGCATAAATTTAGGGAGTTCTTGCTGCTTACCTAAATTTACTAGCAAGATTTGTAACTAAATAAATCACTTTAATCACTATTGGCAAATATCACATCCATCCTCCTCCCTTATATTTATTTATTAATATGTCAATAAAATAGAAAATAACTATTTATTAATGCATATAGTTCATAAATAAAAATAACTCAGTTTGTCATTAATTTTTTTCAGTTCATTTTAATTTAATTTCAAATTCAAACTGTCCACCAAAAACTGGAGTCGACCTATTTTTAGCAACTCTGACTCCACAGCCCTACTAGAATATTCGAGAAATATGTGAGAAAGTGAAAAATGTTTCCATGGTATCAACATGTAATGGATGTATTTTACAGAAATTTTGCAACGAAGTTCTTACTCTTTCTTGAAGAGTGAAGAACAATGAAAACATTATATTTGAATGTTTTACTTCTGATACTAGAATCTTACCTTCCCCCCCCCCTACTTTTCATTAGACACAAGCAGGGAAAATATCAAAAAGGCTTATTTTATCACATTTATAGATAGGAATATTTTTATTAATAAAGAAATTGAAGACTTACAATTTAATATATTCACCTAATATGTCTTAATGCATCATACACTAGGCATTTTCCCACATGATGCAACCTCTGTGTATCCTAAATTCTGCTTCCAATGCCCATTCTAAATTATAGACATTCTGCCACACAAGCTCTGTGACCGACCTTTACCATATATATTTCATAATTTCTTCTGAATGTTCATATTATTGAAGAAATAAAGTTAGCTGCTTTTGCTATATATTCTAAATGCATTTAGTGTTCTATGTGTTCACTAAGTATCACTAGTTGTGTGAACATGGCAGCATAATAGGATGTTTTTCATCATCTATTAATTATGCTTGCTCCAAACGATCTCTGACATGCAAAATACGTCTATTATCCAGATATGGTTCTAAACTGTAAAGCTTCGAAATCAGGCATTATTGGATTATTCCCTTCTTGTTGAATATTCGAAGAATAATTCTCTCCCTGCACTTCTTTTATCCAGTATTGTGCAGTTTCTATGATCTCTAGTGAAGTAAGAGCATATTCCTCGCAGGCACGTCCAAATTTTTATATCAGTTTGTGGTTTCAATTCTTGCTCAGGCCATTGAACCAAGGCCATCTTGATAGAAGACCGGAGCTAACGTTTGATGATGTCACAGCCAGGGGCGGTCAGCGAAGATGATCTTCGATCAGCGCGCTTTCTTTTTCCCGATAGTATATAAGAAAAAATCTATTTTTCTCTTCCTATAAGCATTAGTAACAAAAAAATACTGAAGAACTGAGTACTAATCTTTTACAATTAGACGACAGGGATGCATCTAAGGGTAGTTTTTCAAATAATATTAATTTTTGTTTGCTAATACTAACATTTTTTACAATACTATACTTTTGTTACATAACATTATGTGCAGTTGAATAGCATTAAATACTGTAAAATCAAATAGTTCTGTCAATTTCATAATGTTCTGAAATATCTGAAAT